CTTTTTTTGCTTTATTTTCTATTTTCTTTTAAATGGCTGTTTTAGAGTAGCTTCAGATAAAAGGTAACACCGGGGACTTCCCATGTAGTCCCCTCCTTCCCCGTACTTCTCCTGATCTGACTGTTTACATTAATGTAGCACACTTGTGACTGACAGGCCAATATTAATACATCATGATCAACTCAAGCTCATACTTTAATTAAGCTCACCCCCAGTGCCTAACAACATTAGTCCTCAGTAGACAATCCATGTGCCACCTGTTCATTCACTTTGCCTTCCACTGGAACCTGGTCCCCATAGTTTTGCCTTTGTCAGAATGCCACATGGTTGGAAGGTTCCAGACTGGCATTGTACATCCTGTTATTTTGTCTCTATCCATAGTGGTCTGTTCTCTATCCAGTGGTGATTCTATTTTGACCACTCTGCCCTATCACACCACTCTAGGCTGGTGCTTGTCCTGTTCCAAAAATGAGCCTGGGTCATGTTTCTGCAGTGGTTTACAGAAGGAGGCTGCTGCCCTGCTGTGTCTGTCAGGACCCCTCAGTGATAAGACATTGTCCTATGATCTACAAGCTAGGGACAGGGAGGTTGGAAAGTACTTGGTGTAGATGCTATGGTAGGTTCCATTAGATGCAGTTACTTACTCTGCACCCTGTGCCCTTGTGAGGGATCATGCTGTCTCCCTTTTATAGGTGAGAAACAGGAGGAAGTTGAACTGGCAGATGGGGAAACAAGGATTTAGGCAAGGCGCCTTATATTTATAGTGGCTGTTCTGTGCTGACTGCACTCTGAGAGGCTTGCCACAGGCCCGTCCTTGTCCCCGTCCTTCTCACTACTTCTCTGAGACTGTAATGGAGACATTGAGGGTTTTGCCTTAACTAGCGCTTCTAAGCTTGGAGGGACAGCTAATGTGATGGATGACATAATCACGATTCAGAATGGGTTCAGCTGCCTGGAATACTAGCCCAGAACCAATCAAATGAGCACACTAATAGGAATAAATGTAAAATTCTGCATTCAAGTTCAAAAACCCAGTCAGTACAGGTCAGTGGGAAGCAGTTGGGACAGTTTGGGTCAACTGTATCCTCAGTGGGAAGCTCTGCTATCATTTCATCTCTATTATGGCCATTGTCTTGAAACTGATAGTCCTCTCCCTCTTTGGTACCACTCTGTTATTTCTACACTGTACAATCAGGTATCTTTCCAAAGTTCAAATCTTGTAGCCATGACATCGGTCATCTGCCCTTTCCCCTGGCTGATGTCATTGGGCATCTGTGCTTTTCTCACCATCTGCTTGTAACTCAGAATGGCCTTCTTCCATTGCTTGCTTTGCCCCCACTTCACTTTCCCATTCCTGAATATGCCATGCTCCCTAGAGACCCTGGGTCCCCCCTCTGTGCTCTGCTCCTCACATCTAGCTGTACTTAGAACCTTGTCTCATCCAGCCCAGGTCTCACATCCTCACAGTGGCATTCCTAGCCAAGCCTTATGCTACTCCAGGGCCAGCATCCACTGTCATCTTGCCTCTCACATTGCTTCTTTTCTATATGTTTTGCCTCCAGATTGGCACAGAAGGTACTTTCTAAGTGCAGCATTTCTCAAGTCATATCTGTGAGTGTGTATGTGTGTGTAGGGGAGGGGTTTGAAGGGGGGCTGTTGGGTGAGTCTCAGGTCTGTCTGGCTTTGTTAGTATAGGTTGGCAGTCAGCAGGACACCCAACAGGCCTTTTCTTCTCTGTGCCATCTCATGCAGCCCCAGCTCTGCAGCCCTCAGTTCCAGTGCTTGCCATCTTGGAGCACTCTGTATAGACTTTACAGCTGTTCCATGGAGCCAGGACTCAGGGCAGAGTTTAAGCTGTGGAGCCAATCTAGACATAGACATAGCTGGGCCATCCCCTGCTGGACCACCCTGCACCTCCATTAAGGCAGGCTTTTCTCTCCAGAGTTCTGTCAATCCTTTGTTGGACCAGCCTGAATGCTGCTGTTGTTGTCTTCTGCCTGTGGCCAGAATTCCAAGGCCTTCTCATTAGCCTTGAAGGTCTTTTCAAGTTAGGGTCCTCCCTCCCTCAACCTCTTTTTTCCCTTATAGACTCTGGTGTCATTCTTGCCTCAATGTTTGGATTCTGAAAAATCATCTTCTCTTCCTGAGCTTTGAACAAACTGAGAAATAAAACAAAACAGTGACAGATGGAAGCAAAGAGGCCTGCCATTCTTGCTGAACAAGGGACTTGAAGTGTTTTTCTGGGTGTGGAAGCCAAATAAACTGGCTAAATCCCAGGATTGTCCAGGCTGCTATCTCCAGCCAGAGCTGATGGGCCAGGGCTGGGCAAGTGATAAGCCCACAGTACCTCTGTCCTCCCAGTGATTAGTCTCTTGGTGCTGGCTCTTACCTCAGGTGTGGGTGGATATGTCACCCCCTAGTTTCTTCAGCTTGTAATTGGGGTAGCCATTACACCCCTAGTCAGCTGTGTGAGACAAGACATGTCCCTTGAGCTCAACCCATTGAGACCCTTGGTCCTTTGAGTACAACATTCTCCTGGCATTGCCCAGGTAAGTATGGTCTGTTAGAAGGAGTTCTTGGAGAGGTTTGTCAGACTAGAACATTAATAAATGGTTTGTAAGGCCTTCCTGACCCAGAGGCTGCAAACCACACTTAGGTTTGTTTCTTATCTCTGTCCAGTTGGAAACATTCAACCTGGCTTATCATAAATTCCTCCATGAAGGTAAGTGACACCATGCCAACATGCGCCAACAGACCAGACCATTAACCTTCAACTAGCCTCCCAGGAGAAATGAAGTCTCACAGGATATCCTTGGCAAGCTCAGGTTCAAAGATGATGACTCTCTGAAGAACTGAGGATTAGAACCAAATTTTCTTATGGCTTTTAAGTTTAGGTATGTTAGAATTCATTTAGTTCTGACTCTAGCTTCTCCATCTCAGCTAGCAGGATGCTTGGACCTCTGAGATGAGTGTGGCTCCTCAGGGCCTAACTTTCTGAGCTTGAGACTGAGCCCAACAATTGTTCCTTCTGAGAGCTGGCTTCTAGGAGAGCTCATAAGCCTGTCAAAGATCTGGCCTTCCAAATCATGGTAGAAAGTCATCCCAAGGCCCTGGACAGTTCCCACCATGTTCCCAGATCCGTCTTTGCTGACATCCTAGGTCTCTGGAAGGCCTGGTGTGGTCTTGGTGAGGTTGGCTGGCACAGCTGTTTTTGCTTAGGGGTTAGCTGCAGGTCTAGAGCCCCCTCATTGCAGTTCTGTCTGGGATCGATGTCCCAGCATGGGAGCATGCCTATAGTGGGAAATTACCAATACGGAGTCAGGTAGAAATATAAGGATATTTAATAGGGAAAAGTCTTACTTACAGAGCGACCTAGCCAGCCGGTGGCAGCCGCCTGTACAGCAAGAAGCAAAGAGAAACCGAAACCGCACTACGTCACTCTGACCACGCCCTCACAAGCGTGGTCAGGCACACCTGTAGCCAGCCCCTAAGAAGGCATGGCTACAGCTTCCCCTACACATGCCTGGCTCTTCCTGCTGGGGAAAGACATCTCAACAGCTTGTAGGTTTTGTTAGTGCTGAACCACAGTGCCTGCTGGCTGTGAGGACTTCTGCTGGCTAGCACATGTCCTTAATCCTACTATGTCTTCCTGGAAGTTCCCCTTCAGGATCAGGCGCTCAGGCACCTTGAGTGCTATTGTCATGTCCTGAAGGGAACCAAGGGCTGATACTTCTGACTCTGCAATGTTGCCTGCTGCTTGCAGACTGCAGACACTTGATGCCCTTAGGTGCAGGCTCCCTGGGTCCTCCACCATTTGTGAAGATACAGAACCCGTCCCCTGTGGACTCAGAGGGAGTCAGCATTCTTCCTTGCCCTCTCACCAGTACCCCACGCTACTTTCAAGTGCTATTAGGTTTGAGTGCTGCCAGTTGTCATGCCCATGTTGTATTTGAAAGCCCTTCCCTGCTCTCTTGGGTTCTGTTCTGAGGCTTCTGTGCAAGCCAAGATGGTGATCATTCCCATCATACAGATGATGAGGTACAAGCCCAGAGAAAATGACTACTTGTGGATGTCACATAGCTCCTAAATCCTAGCTAAGGTTCTATTCTGGTCTGTCTCAGTTAAAGCTCTTAACCCTCAGGCTGTGCTGCCCACCCCCAAATCCACATGAACCTCATCCAAGCTCACCCACATCTCTGCGAATAGTCACCTCTCATTCTCATGCAGTGTCTACATTGTTAGCACTTGGACTGTTGCACTGTCAGCACATTTGCTATTTCTCATTGGCTCCCTGGTGGGCCGGGTGCTTGCTGTCCAGGTGCCCAGTGAGGTGGTCATTCCAGCAGATGGTTCTGCCCAATGAGCCAGACACATGGGTGCTGGCTTGTTCAATTTAAATGTAAATATCCAACATTATCAGATAGAAATGTTCCATGAAGCATTCCTGGGAATTGTGTGCGTCCTCCGACATCAGATGGGAGTGAGCCTGACGGTGCTGTGCTCTGTTGGTCTTATGCAGAATGTTGCCCTGTATCTGTTTCCCAAGAGGCAGCCTAGCAGTGTGTAACTTGGTTTGTTTTATAGGATTGTTTTGCATTATAAACTTTCTTTCAAGGCTTTTTCCTTTTTGGAGTATGTGTGTTATTGGAGGGGAGTGGCACTCATGTATGATATAGCTTTAAGTATGTTCACCCATTTGCCAGTGTATGTGAATTGGTGTGTGTGTAGGCCTGGAGTTGGTGTCAGTTGCCTTCTTCAATCTCACTTCATTTTAGTTTTGGAGGTACAGTCTCTTGGTTGAATCTAGAGCTCATCAGTTCTAGCCTGATTTGGGGATGCCCTGTCTCTCTCTCTTTCCCAAGTGCTGGGGTCACAGGTGACTTCCATAGCTGCTTGGCTTTTATGAGGATTCTAGGTATCTGAGTCTAAGGTCTCAAAGCCTCCCTAGCCCCATGTTTTGTTTTATGTGCATAAAACATGCATTGTTATTTTTTCCTTAGGACAATTACACCTTTGCCCAGCCTGGGATTCAAATGAAAGTGAAGATGCTGGAGGAACTTGTAAGCCGGATTGATGGTAAGTCAGTGTCCAGAGCATCTCCTCTCTGAGGCAGGGAGTATGCTAGAAGGAAGGCTAGGGAGGTGGCCTTGGTCCTCAGCTCTTCCAGATACTATTGTCCTTGTTCTCATTTGGCTGGTGGTACCTGGGCCTGCTACTTCTCACCCAAGTGCATTCTTAACAGGAGAAGGTGCTGTCCTGCTCTTCATTCTGTGCTCCAGTCAGGACTCTGTGGGGAAGGAGATGCCTGTGCTCCTGGCAGCAGGCCTCCCTGCTTGGTCAGCTGCAGCTTCTCCTCTGGCCAGCAGGGTGGTTGCTAATGGCTGTCCTTTGCCTTGCCTCTCCTGCCTGTGTATATCATTTGCTATCAGGGAAGATAGAATTATTTCTCCATGGAATCCAATTAATTACCAAGTCTAGAAAGAACATCTTCAATATTATAGAAAAATTATAGTGTGTGCTCGGGCAATTTTAGATTATGCTTTCATGTTTAAGTGAGGCCGTTGAAATACTTTTTACCTTCGTCCTTAAAATAATTCCCCCTGCTATGTTCTGAATGTCATATTGCAATAGCAGAGTTTAATTAAATGAAAGTTGAGAGATAATGCTTGCCCATTCCAAGCAGAGCCTCCTGATAGTTTGTTAAATTAATGAGCAGAGCATTAACAAAGTGATGCCAAGCAGAACCAGACTTATGTATATATGTGACACCAACCAGTCAGCAGTGAGCTGTAGAAGATGCTCTCTGCTTCCCAGAGTCCCGGGTGAGTCAGGCAAGTCACTTCGACAAAGGTGCTGAGAACTGTTAAGATTTAGTCCTGGCTGTGAGCCTTCTGTGTGTGCAGGCTCTTCCCTAGCCTTCCCCTTGCTGCTCCCATAGAAGAAGAAAATTGTCAGCTCTCTTCATAGGAAGACACTTGGTTTGGGAAATGGCTGAGTGATACTATAAACCAGAGCCAAAAAATTCTAAAGTGCACTGTGTTCCTTGATTGAGTCTGGGAGTCGGTTCTGTGTCTGATGGTTATTACCTCATTTCCATATTATGAAGTCTCATGCACTTGTAGGGATGCTTTATTGGATTCAGTGTGTTTAGCTGCTTTTCAACCTCTTTCCAAACTGCTGCTCTTTCTTCCGTCAGTGTACCCTGTGTGTTTATTCTGCACTCATGTTGTGCTCTTGCTCGCTCAGCTCTGGTTGAGGTTTTTTTCCTACCAGTGATTTCACAAGTGTCCCCAGCCTCATTTAGTTCTTTGAAATACTATTTGCAGGAGCTGTGAGTTACACAGTTCTAGCAGGTTCTTCTTTTTCTCCTGTGCCCCTTAGAAGGCTTATTTTATATTTTCCATGAGTCTTAAGTTGTGGCCAGGGCTGGTTTGCTCCAGCGCTGCAGTTGGGGAAATGCTTGAATTGATTTTTTCTGGTGCTGTGGTTCAGAAGGAGGCACACTGCAGATTTACACAGTGATTGTTCTGAGGAGCAGCAGCGACTACCGCAGAGCTGCCCGTCTGTGCTCTGGGTGAAGCACATCTTTATTTCCACCCAAGGATCAGCTCTTCACAGCCCAGGATGGTGTCCAGTATCGGAGGGCAGGATGTGCAACCTGTTTGTTTCTGTTTTCATGTCAGGAGCTCTGAAAATTTGTCTAATTGCCTCATCATGAGGACACTGGACTATGCAAGCAGGAAATGTTTAGTCCTCAGGGTCTCCAGCCCTGGCTGGGAGCCTTCTCGTCACTCTGCCTCCACTCGTATTTGGAGAAGTTCCAAGACTGCAGCTCTAGCTGTCTCACCTATAGGGACTCACTGTAAACCTTTCATCAATGGCAAGGTATACTGTGTAGAAAAAAATTATTTACATTCTAATCTGCTGCCTGAGTTCTACATTTCTAGGGAAGGTCAGAGAAAACACTGATGCCTTGGTAAGGGGGAATGGTCATGGGCCTGCTGAAGACTGGGGGCTTTATGCTCTGTTCCAGATGGGTGCTGTAAAAAGAAAATTGCCCTGCATAACATAGGTAGGGAACCCAGGAGTAGTGGATGTGTAAGGTTGTGGGCACAGAGGTGATATAGATGGCAAACCTGAGAAGGGAGGGAGGTAGGCACTGAAGGGTGGTGTCTGTTGAAGATAGGTGCCGTCACTGTTTTCCTGTGGTAAGGAGTAGTTAAAGAATTTTCCAAAGGCATTTTTAAGAGATTACCCCTTTTGAGTAATGCCTCTCCAGCATTGCTGACCCTCTGCCGAAGGTGCCATGGGGACATGGAGGTGCACAGGTGAAGGAGGGTCATGTCTGTGATGGAGGCAGAGGAGGAAGCAGGCAGCAGCCTTTGAGATGGCGCTGGAGGGGAAGCAGAGGCTGTCTCTGGAGCAGGCAGATGGCCTCTGAGACATCCATGGAAGCCCTGTAGAATGGCAACGTGAGCCATTGGAGTTGGGACTTAACAAAGGTGGAGAGGGAGGGGCTTTTACTGCAGCAGATTCCTGATGAAGACAATCAAAAAGGCAGATATGATGTCTCCAAAGCCAGTAAAGAAATGAAAAGGAACATAAAAAAAATAAGAAAGAAAAGAAAATCACTGTCTTTCGAGAGAAGGGATACTGCTGAGGAGCAGTATCAAAGATACAAGGGTTATTGGACCTTCTTGTTGGGCCCTTGTGAGATCAGCCGGCACCAAAGCCACTGCTATTTGGTGGGCATGCCCACTTCCAGAACAAGTGGTCCTAGGGACTGCTTGTCAGCCTCTTGGGATGCTAAGTGGACTCTGGCCTACCCTTGAACATGCTGCCTGCTTCCTGAGAGCTAGAAGAGTGACACACCAGGGTGTGTGTGTGTGTGTGTGTGTGTGTGTGTGTGTGTGTGTGTGTGTGATAACCCTCACATCACCCCAGCCCAGCTTCAAGCCATGGTGGACTGGTATTGTTGGGACATGTGTTTCTGGAGATTCTGTGCTGAGGTTCTTCACAAGGCTTGTGATACAGAGAACAAAATCTTTTCTAGAGGAAGCCCCCGGAACTTAAGTTCTCACCGTATTCTGTTTTCAAGTGGAGTGGCCTTACACAGTCAGGGATGATCCATATACAAGACTCCTGCAGTGAGAGTAAGTGATAAAAGAGCCAGGTCCATTAGGTGGGGAGCTTTGCTGATCTGTAGGCACACACAGTAAAACTGCTATTCTTACTATGAATGAAAGAAAGAATCATGAATATAGCTTTAGAGAATAGAAGACTATACAGTTGTGCAGAAGAAGTTTGAAAAATGCCTGGCCATGCAAGCCCGATGACCTAAGTCTGATCCCTGGAACTCTTGTAAAAGTGGAAGGAGAGAACGAAGTCCACAGAGGTGTTCTTTGACCTCCACATACATGCCATGGCAATCTCCATCTCTTTCTCTCCATCTCTTTGTGTCTCTGTCTCTGTCTCTGTCTCTCTCTCTCCCTCTCTCTCTCTCTCTCTCACACACACACACACACTGAAAATATTATACTTACAAAAACAACTAGCTGAAGAGTTCAGTGAGCAAGCCTAACACATTAGACACAGGCAGCAGAGCAGTCAGTGCACTAGAAGGTGAATCGAGAAAACCCTAGCGAGGCAGAGAGAATTCTGGTGCAGGAAGGTGGAGATGTGGAGCATGAACTCAAAACTCCAAAGGAAGGGAGGACAGAGGTTAGTAATTGGAAGAAACAATGGCACCCACTCTCAAATTCAAGAGGCCAGTGAATCCTGAATGGAGTTAACAGAGAAACCTGTGCAAATACATCACAATGGGTTTAGTTAAACCAACCAGAGAGGGAAATTTTGTTTTAGAAAGCTCTCATTATGTAGATTAAGACATCCTCAATCTGGTGATCCTCCTGCCTCAGGTTTCTGAGTGCTGTAATGAGTCACTAGAAACTGTTACAGAAAGATCTCCATCAGTTCATTGGGAACAGTCTTAATAAATATATGAAGCGGTGTTGCCAGTCTGCTGAAAGGGTATGCGTCCATCAAAAGAATCCTTTGAGGTGGAAATGCCAGTCTGTGTGAACCTGGTTTCACACTGGCCCAGGAACTGTAAATAAAGATGGAAAGTGAATAAATTCACATGGGAGCTGTTGGAGTGGTACAACCAGGAGAATGGTCCCTGGGAACTTTAGACTCAATGCAGGAGACATCTTAGCACCATGTCCAGCCTGTCTGGAGAGGCAGGCTGTCCTCTCAGAAGTCTACAGACAACCACATGGCACTACTTCCGGAAAGGCAAGTCTCTTTCTGGCTAGGTCTGAAATCTAGAGTGTCAGATCACTGGACCCCAGGGCATTGGGAAGGATTTGAGATTTCTTGTGTGAGAGCATCTTCATCCACAGCAGAAGCTGGCTTCTAACTCTCACTTGCCCCATGGGGGCAGCATGCTTGTATGCCCAAGTGCTGTGGTTCCTGGCAAGGGTCCCATTCCCACCTGATTGCACACTTTCTTGCTCTAGTGTTGAAGGAGCAGCTCTTGGGAAAGGAATTTCTTCTGGGCCAGGCTGCCTAGACAGGCCATTTCCCCACCTCAGGAGAAATAGGTTTCACTTGGGCCACCTGGATTGCTGGTAGGTGGGTATTAGGAGACTGCCCCGTAGTGCCAGGTGGGTTGGGGGCGCTGCCTGAACAAAGGCCAAGACATGACCTTTAAGAGGTGGGGCGAGCACCCCAATGCATTCAAAACAGCACCCAATTCTTTTTCCTTTTTGTATTACTTCTTGATCTGTTGTGAGACACGGCTTGTTTCTCTGTTGGGGGAACAGGTGGAACCTGCAGCTGGACTGTGCTTCCAGCTCTCCACCCACCTGTGGTGGACATGTCAGACTGCATGTTTAGGAAGTGTTATACCTGAAAGCATTTAGTCAGAGAAATACAGATCCATGCCCCCATCTTGCAAAGCCACCACCATCAGACAGCTACACACTGTACTAGTGTGGCTTAAAAATCTTTGCCAACATCCAAAAGTGCTACTGGGATCACTGGTGGCCCCAGGATGTACAGTCCACTAGGGCTCT